GCCTCCGGTGCTTTGCTCTCCTGGTGGCTTTCGCCTGCTCCCCACCTTGAGCTGAGGGGCGTCGAGAGGCGGTGGGCGAGGCCAGGAGTTTGACGAGCCGCAGGCAAGGAGCTTCCCGTCCCGAATCCTGGACCAGCCGTGCCCAAGACAGAGGTGAGGCGCGGCCTCGGCCCCGGGGTCTCCTAGCCACCCAGGCTCGGGCTTTTCCTCGCTTTCCCCTGCCTTTTCCGCAGGAGCAGAGTTTCGCCGTCAGAGTCGCTCTGCTGCTGTTTGGCAGAAGGAACCCTGGTAGTAAGGCGTGACGTGATTAGGCCCTGCCAGGTGCTGACCCTTACGGGATTAACCGCCTTGCTTAAATGGTTGGTTCTTTTTCCAGCCTGTTTCTAGCTCGTGTTTATTCAGCTGATGTACAGATAGTTCAAGTGAGGGTGAGGTTACATCTACCTTTTGGAGTTCGTTTCTAATGCAGAAACTTAAAGCAGCCCTGTTCGCCTCTTAAGAAGGTAATGCAGATTCCTCCTGTAAAGGAGCATGTTGAATTCTTACACTTGGCAAACAACACAAAATTATCTTAAAGTACTTTATACTTAATACTATTAGGTCTTGAGCCTGAGTCTATGTTTTCACTGAAGCAAAAGCAGTGCCAAGAAAAGGGGGTAAAAAGGCATCAGGGATTGGGAAGAAAATACTTAGCCCTGTAGATATTTGAATCTTCACGTACCATTGTAAAGCTGATAAAGAATAACAAATGTTGGCAAAGATGTGGAGAAATTGGAGCCCTTGTGCATGGCTGGTGGGAATGTAAAATGGTGTAGCTGCTGTGGAAAAGTTTGATGGCTCCTTTAAAAATTGCATATAGTAACCATATGATCCAGCAATTCTGCTTCTTGATGTAAACCCAAAATAATTGAAAGCAGAGACTCAGAACGGTTGCTTTTACATCCATGTTCATAGCAATATTATTTACAATAGCCAAAAGGTGAAAAAAACTCAAATGTCCATCTGGAGATGAATGGATAAACAAAATGTGGTATTATTCAACTTTAAAAAGGAATAAATAGTACCCGCTACAATGTGGGTTAACCTTGAAAACGTAAGTGAAATAAGCCAGATACAAGGGCAAAAACTGTATGATTCCACTTAGATGAGATACTTGGTGTAGTTGAATTCAGAGACAGAAAGTAGAATATTACCACGGACTGGGGAGAGAACAGAATGGGGAGTTACTGTATAATAGGTACAAAATTTACTTGGGATGATGGGAAAGTTCTGGAAATATGGTTGCACAACATTGTGAATGTAATTAATGCTACTGAACTGTACACTTAAAATATTTGAAAGGTTTACTTTTGTTATGCATATTTCACTACAGTAAAAACAAAAAGCAATGCTCATCAGTAGATACAATCTAAGATCACAACCAGTCATTGGAAAACCTTGTTTTAATTCTAGCGTCTACATGGTACAATAATTTGTGAAAACTTTCAGAACTGAATGAAATTCATGTCCAGAGCTTACAAGATGTATGTGCCTTTGTTTTAAACTGAATACACTAGGTAGCATTTGCAGGATGTACATGGGTAACAGTACTTGTGTGAGGATTCCTGGATACCCATGCACATGTATTTTTTTGTATTAAACAGACTGGAGATAACAGCATCCATTCTCGTTATGTATTTGGAAAAAAACTATTTTGGTATCCTGCATTTGGCCTATCAACATCAACAGAAAAACAATCATTTCAAATTAGCTCATTCTAAATATATAGCCAAGTGGCAGCTTCTATGTTATTAGGATGTATTTTATCTTGGGTTCTTTTTGAGGGGTAAATGCTCACTGTACATGGTTAATATATTTCAATTATCATTTTCCTATTCATTTGACAAGTGAGAAAATGACTTATTTCCTCCCTTTTTGTAGGTGGGAAAATAGGCATTCAAGCTGAGATGGTAATGATGCTGAAACTGTCAACTTCTCCAAAACTTACTTGCAGTCTTCTGTTTTGACCAAGTTTTCACACTGTCTTATGAAATCAGAAAAGGACTGTTGCCCGGATGCTATGTGCTTCAGCTTGCCACAGCAGTGCTTTCAAGGTGGCCAGCTAACTTTTGTGAGTAGGTGTGAGTAGAATTTTTTCATTCACTGTTAAAATGAGTGACTGTTATTTAGAGCAAAGAACTCATGTTAAACTTTGTGTAAAGTTAAATCTGCAACTGAGACACTTGAAATGTTAAAAAGTAGCATATGGTGAAGAAGTAATGTCAAGAGCAAGTTTTTGACTAGCACAAAAGGTTTAAAGGCAGAGGTGATGTCCACTGTGATGCAAGAGGCCCTCCGGTCACCCACAGAACACGTGAAAATGTCCAGAAGGTCAGAAATTTGGTTTGCTCAAACAGCCAATTAACTGTAAGAAAAATAACTGAAAAGTTAAATTTAGACAAAGAATCAGATTAATTCTGAAAGAAAACTTGCACTGGAGGAGTTTTGGGCAAGATTCTCTCTCCTGCTATTGTGGTTGATGATCACGTAGAGGCCAAACTAAAATAGAGCTGCACAGGAACTTGCCACGGGGGTGTGTATTCAGGGCACAGTGCTGGTTTCATTGTTCTTGAAGAAACTTCAGGCTGAATCTAAAATGAGCTGAGCTTCTTTATTTTTCATTGGCTTTGTAGGTACCTGATTTAAGCAGAGTGAACCTGTAGAGTTGAGTGTGACAGAGTAGAGAGGGTGGAGCTAGTTCATTAGGAGGAACTGGGAAGCTAATGGGAAACTGTTAGCTCAGAAGGAGGAACTAAACATGGAGCACTTCTCATTTCATCAAAATGAACTTATTTGAATAATCGGTAAGTTACCTGTAGGTTGGGAGTTAAACCTTAAACAGGGAGCTAGAGATCACTGTTACTCTGTATGGAAATATCTCAAAAAATACAGTGGCCACTTTCAGGCAAAAAAGACTTGTAATAATGAAACTCTCGTTGTGGGAGATTGAACTCAGATGTTGGAAAAAGGTATTCAAATCTGTCAGCCAGAAAAGGGCTGCAAGGAATGGTGGGCAGTGACACCTCCCCCCCCCAAATCAGGACCTGATTTTGGTCAAAAACTCATAAAACCTATTCTTTATGTAATCTAAATTCCAATTTTAAACATTTATTTTTAGATACATTGTTCAGGTCTGCAATTTGGTATGAGAGGTAGACAAATAGGGCTCAACTCTGAGCCTAACTTATTTCATCAGAACAAGTTTCCATAGGTTGAAAAGAGTTTCAAAAGGCATTACTCTGAGTAGCAACAGGGACTGAGTTTTGACCTTCACGGTTTCCATGCTGTACTTAAATCTGAGTGTGGTGGTCAGATCCTGAGCTCCAGCTCTAATGCTATTAAGTATTCAAAGGAAGGCATCACTTTGAGTATTCAAGAGGCCACAAATAGCTTCAAGTCCGTTATGGTCAATTGGCAGTTTTGCTGAAACACTGTCTCTGCCCCAGCTTCCTTACCAGTCTCTAGTATGATGCTGCATCATTCAGTATCAGTGTTGCTGCAACCAAGAAACAGCACAAGTCCTGTACCTGGAGAAGGTGAAGTCAGAGCCCTCCGGCAGTGACCCTGAGACTAGTTAACTATACTATTCCTTTTTTTTAGCCTCCCAGAAATTCAAGTTTACATTTCATAAGAAACACAAGCCAAAACTAAATGAGGTCGTTTATGGAAAAACTCTCATTTTGACAGCCTTTGTTACCTCTGGGACACTGCTGATCAAAGCTGCAGGGCCTACAAGGCAAAAATTACAATTAGAGTAATTTTTTCCTATTGTCTTAGCTTCTGTTACTGATTTTTTTTTTACAACTTGAACTTTGGATGCTGTTTTTAACTGTGTAATGAAATTTATTAAAGTACACATAAATAATTCATATTCCAATAAACCATACAGATTTTTATACTTGTTTTGATAATCTGTTGTATTATATTTTAGCCACATGCATATATCACCTGTGAAATAATTTACATTGACTAGTTAAGATCTACCTTCACCCATCCACCAATAAGGCACTAGTGAAAACAGTGTGGTGTGGTGAGGCTCCAGCTACAGCTTATTTGTGACCTTAAGCTTTCCATCCAAGTTACCCAGGCGGCTGGAACAGATTAATGCAAACTTGGTGGCTTAAACAAGTTTATTCTCAATTCTGCAGGCTAGGAGTCAGAAATCAATCCCACTGGATCAAACCAAGTGTATGCTCCCCCAGGAGATTGGAAGTTTGGGAATCAACATGTTCCTCCCACCTTCCAGCAGCTGCCAGCATCACCCCAATTTCAAGGCCAATATCAAATCTGCTGCACCTTCATATGGCCTCCACCTTTGTGCATGGAACCTCCTTGTGCCTCCCTCTTATAAGACACTTGTGATTAGATTTAGGGCCCACGGAGATGATCCAGGATGGTCTCCCCATCTCAAGACCCTTAACCTAATTGCATCTGCAAAGACCCCCTTTCAAGAAAGGTCACACAGGTTCTAGAACCTAATCTCTTTGGGGGCCATTATTCAACCTACTACACCATCTCTCTAGGTTTTTACAGGTTTTTCTTCTGTCTTCATATAATCTCTTGGACTGCCAATGAACTTTTTGCAGTAATGGAAATGCCCTTTACCTGTTGTCCAGTACAGTAGCCCCTAGCCATAGGTGAGCACTTGAAGTATGGTTAATGCACTTGGGGGGCTGAACTCTTATTTTAGGTTCGATTAAACAGCCATGTGTGACTAACAGCTGTCATATTGGACAGTGCACTTCTAGTATTTCTGTAGCTCTAAACTCTGGACTCTGAACTACTGTTTAGTCTAGCGGACTTCAAACTGTAGCTAAAACCCTTGTTGCCAAACAAGTTATTCAGAAAACCAAAGTATGAACAAGACTGCACTGGTTGAAATTGGCTGGTGGGAGAGGGAGGATCCATGGCAGACCCAGAGTCTCCGTGTGTTCATCCATCCCACATAAGTCCTCAAGGGGCAAAGAACTGCCACCAGGACTCGGTGGAGTGGAGTTATTTGTGAAAAACCAGTGGTTATCCTTGGGGACTTTGCTAGAGCCTTCAGACTAACAATTGTTTTATATCTTTCATCATGACGGTAGCTAGAAGAGATTGTCATTCTCTTGGTCCCATTTTCACTTTCACTGGACCACTGTTGACATGGTGTCTTGCACACTCCTTGTTCTGCCAGAACAACCTTCTATAGCCTATTAAGGCTTCAGGACTGTTCTCTCTCAATTTTTCTTCCCCTTTATATGTAGCATTTGAAGTCACTTCATGTAAGCCTTTTGTCCTACCAAATACCATCTCCTCACTGCACTCAGCTAAGGAAGCATCACAGGCCTCCATCAATGGATCCACTGGAAGCCTCCATCAATGGATCAATTGCGATCACACACATTAACTTTTTTCTGCTTTGTTCACTGATGTTTTCACAATACTTATAATAGTACTTGGCCCATAATGGATGCTCTGTTATTTACTGAATGAACATTAAAGCCAGTTATTTTAGTCTTATATAAATACTAAATATCAGTATTGTCATTTTACTCCATACAGTATTATAAAAATGATCTTTTAGCACTACCAAGTCCTAACTACTTACCAGGTAGTTAGATGTACTGTGTATGAACTAACTTCAGTAACTATGATTACCAGCTTACAGACAAACTGAAGCTAAATAACTGGTCTAAGATCACATGGAAGGGTAGGGAGCTGAGTCTAGGCTCTTACTGTGCTCCTGCTAAGAACAGGTGGCTGTAAGCCACCCACTTGAATGCCATTTATAATTCAACTCAATATAATTAATGATATTAATCCTGATTATAAATGATACTGCTCCTTGTACTATAGTCACCATGGGTTTAGTGTTCAAGTTAAATATTTGAGAACCTATGCCAGGTCTTGGTTAGACCCCAAGAATATGTGGACTTCAGCTGTAAGAGTCCAGAGGAGGGGGCAGTCAGGCAAGTACACAAGCAACTACAAATGTGCTCCCAAGTATGCGAAGGCCATTACAGAGTGCTACAGAAATCCAGAACATGAGCACTTGAGAGGGGAGAAAGACAGTCACAGAAAAGTTGGATAAGACTGGGAAGGCGTATGGGTGAAAGGGTGCACACCAGTAAGTTATAGCATGATAGAGGCCAGAACAAGTTGCCATTTTAGAGTGGTCTAAAATATCCACCTTAGCCCTGCACACAAGATCCTCCCTTAAGGCCATTGCTCTGCAGCTTCACTTTACTTACCCCAAAACCTTTAAACACATCCCTCCCCAGGGCCTTTGCACTTGCTCCCCCTCTGCCTGAAATGTTTTTCACCCACACAGACAGTTGATCCTTCAACAAGGCAGGGGTTAATCTGGATATAATTTACAGTGGGCCCTCCTTATCCACATACTCAACCAACCATGGACAGTATAGTACTGAAGTATTTACTATAGAAAAATATCCGTGTATAAGTGGACCGACAAAGTTCAAACCCATGTTCCTTAAGGGTCAACTGTGTATCAACTTCATAGAGTCGTGAGAATCTAACTGAAAAGATGAAAATAAAGCACATGCTACACTGCCTTCTCACCAGCAGCATTACCCCACTGCACTAACACATGTGCCAGTGCAGACACGTGGCTGCTCCATATTATGTATGTGAGGCTAGCTGACTTCATTAGAGGCACTTGCGTATAAGAACTGCAGAGTGATAATTGGTGTAAGTCAGTTAAAATACCAGCATCAGTGCATTCCAGCTTCAATGGCTTGTATCTGTAGTTTTCAACCTATATAAGGAAAGCAAAGGCTTAAATTACCTTTTTGAACAAATAGGAAGAGTAAAACACTTTGAGGTACATTCTTTTCAGTTTGTCTCAAAGGATGTCCAGAAGAAGCCGTTTGTATACATTTCCCATCAGCTAGCTTATTTTTTTCCACCTTCAAAGACGACAAAAGTATTCAAATTCCCATAACCATTTGAAAACCCTAGACGGTATCCCCAGAGTCTAAAAAGTCAGCCTAGAGGGGTGGGAGCTATAGCTCAGTGGTAGAGCTCATGCTTAGCATGCACGAGGTCCTGGGTTCAATCCCCAGTATATCCATTTAAAAACAAAGAAAGAAAAACATTTAAAAAATAATAAAAAGCAGGCCTGAAGGTATCATCAAAGGTAAAGTTTAAACGTGACACTTTGCTTTTAACTGTATAAAAATATCACAAAGCACAAAGGTGCTTAAGATGAAAGGAAATTTTCTTTTGGTTCAGCTGTGACTCCAGACAGGATCCAAAGAGGAGTTCTACAATCTCTTCTCTGGGTTTTATGGAGACTTACTTTACCCTTCTGTGTTAGCCTCTTAAGGCACTGAGTCAGCCTTAAAAGGGCACAGGAAAGGGCGATGTGGGTTTTTCACAGGGTTCGCGACTATTTCTTGAACTCCCCTCCCGTAAATATACGTGGACCTCAGCAGTTCTTTTAACGAGTCCGAAAACCCACTAGAAGCAGCTGTTCTGCTTGTGAACATCCGTTTCCTTTGTTAAAGGAGAGCCGGATTCCAGCCATTGCTCCAAGCACGTGCCTGGAAACTCTCTGGTGGCCATTGGCCACGTGCTTGGGACCGAG